CCTGGAATCTCATTCACACAGTGCAAAGGCATTTGCAATTCTACATCCAAAATGGTACACTCCAAGGTTTCAGGAATATTTCTGTTAGATTTATTTTCCACTGTTCAACTATGATTACTATATCACTACACACAAGTTAATCTAAAAAGAAAAGAAAAGAAAAGAAGACAAATAATCAGCATACTTTCAGCTGCTTCTATGCACTTGATTTCCTAGTCTTCTATACTGTATGTTGCATCAAGACAAATAGTACTTCTTTGACAATATCTGTCTTCGGTCTGTTTGTTACTACCTACCTATTGACGTATATAGCAATATGATAATTCCTACTGAAAACTACACTTACATTGGTCTCTCCATTTTCCAGCTGAGATCAATAACATTCCAAAACAAATGCTACGAAGGAGGCCAAAAGAATGCATAGGTACCTTGATCTATGGATATCTTCCACCTCCAGGGAAGCACCAATGGTAGCTAACAGAGTCATATGTCAGGAAGTATTAATTCTTTTTATATCATAGAATACCTACCTGGAAATATGTCTGAACAATAGCTTTATCAGCATTGCATTATACTAAAAAGAAGAAAAAGTGAAGCACACATACGAAAAATGCATAACCAGACCTGTGGACCTTTTCTCAGAACCTTTAGCTGTGGCTGACAAGAGTAACTGGCATCAGTTAAATATTCAACTATAGTAATACCTTAAGATAAAATAAAATTCAGGAACAGTGTCAAATGAACCAAAGCAATGCATTTCTTTACAGACAGTAGCTGCCTCTACATCAGTTTATTCCTTTCCTTGACTAAATTCAATTTTAATCAATGCTGCAGTTGACTGAAGGTAGATTAACTGTTACCACTGACAAACCTACAAACAAAATCCCACTCATACCCTAAAACTAGCTCCTCACAGCCTCCACAGCTCTCATCCACACCCTCTATACAACATGGCAGATCACTGCTGGTTCATGCTATCTGGGAAGAAATCCATCACAATCTGCTTCTTATTGACCTTTCCCATATTATTGCGTGGCAGGGGTTCTGATATGGTTATCGCCACAGATGGTACCTGATAGTGGGGCATCCTTTCTCGTGCCCAATTCCGAAGCTTTACCAGGTCTAGGGGCTCCTTCTTCTGCCATACAATGACAGCTGCGACCTTCAAGGAAGAGAAAATAATTAGTTTGTGTTTTGACTTCAACTGCTCTTCAGACTTAATACAGTTTGTGTTCCCTTTACAAATATACCTTAAACATATTGAAATGGATAGTGTCTCACTTGGTTCTTTGATGTCACCTCCTTCAAACACAGATTTATCAAGTACCTCATTCTATACAGTAACTTTTGGCTCATCATAATATATCCTGGTGATGATGATTAATGAATTTGCATCATCCTTATTAGCATTAAAATTATTGTTTGTCATCCTCATTAGAATGAGCATTAGTTTTACCATCTGCATTAGTATTTGCATCAATATTACCAAAACTATCATCATTAATTTCTGCAATTAATATTACCATTTCTACAGTTTACCCACTCACAATGGAAGCTCCAAACACTATATGCTAGGGTATGCCCAGAGTCAGTTGCTCAAGGAAAATATTTAATGTTCTGGCATTTGGCATTAACAATAATTTTGGGTAAAGAGGCTTAAACCTACTTTTTAGGGGCTATTTCTCCTCAGTGACTACAGCCAGGGCAAAACAAGTAAACAACTGTTCAGTGCACACAATTCAGAGCAGATCTGACCAGGCATGAAGTGACTGGACATTATCCCAGTATGACAATCACCAATGATGTCAAAGGAAAGCACACACTGTGAATGGGTTAATAATATGATCATCCTTAACAAAACAATCATCATTATCATCCTCTTTCTTTTCAACACTATCCTTTCCATTATCATTGTCGCCATCATTACTAGCATGACCATAATCAATCATCATTATATATATAACTGCAAGCAGTCAAATTTCTTTTTCTTCTCCCTATTTAAGACCAACCTTTTGTCCCCACGTGATATCTGGAAGCCCAACGACAGCCACTTCAGTAATATGTGGATGATCCAAGAGGTGCTGCTCCACATCAAGGGCTGAGATCTTAAAACCCCCACTCTTGATGATGTCAACACTTGTCCGCCCCAAGATCTTGTAAGCTCCATCTATGTACTGTGCAGTATCCCCTGAAGCATGAAGGTAGGAAAATAAATTTGCACAAACAAAATTGGTCTCACATAAAAAGTAGGGCTTAGGGCAATAGTATGATGGGAAGAAGGGAAGGGACTGTGGTTTTAGAGTTATTGATACCTGTATCTCCGATGCCAAAGAGATTTTGTACTGTGCTATTATTTAGCTCAGCTTGTGTGTATAGTGTCCCCTAACAAACTCTATATCAAAGGAACTCTTATATGCACATCTCTTTAACCCTTTAAATGTGAGGAAGCATGAATAAGTTAAGAGTATGAATAAGAGTGCAAGTGAGAGTAACAGTATGAATAGAGAGATGAGAGAGAGAGAGAGAGAGAGAGAGAGAGAGAGAGAGAGAGAGAGAGAGAGAGAGAGAGAGAGAGAGAGAGAGAGAGAGAGAGAGAGAGAGAGAGAGAGAGAGAGAGAGAGAGAGAGAGAGAGAGAGAGAGAGAGAAGAGAGAAAGAGAAAGAGAAAGAGAAAGAGAAAGAGAAGAGAAAGAGAAAGAGAAAGAGAGAAAGAGAAGAGAAAGAGAGAGAAAGGAGAAGGAGGAGAAGGAGGAGAAGGAGGAGAATGAGAAGGAGGAGGAAGAGAAAGAGAAAGAGAAAGAGAAAGAGAAAGCAAAAGAAAAAGAAAAAGAGTAAGAGAAAGAAAAAGAGGAAGAGAAAGAGAAAGAGAGAGTGGAGTGAAAGTGAAAGTGAAAGCGAGAGTGAGAGTGAGAGTGAGAGTGAGAATGCGAATGAGAATGAGAGTGAGAGTGGAGCGAATAAAAGTAAGAGCAAGAGTAAGAGTAAAAGCACTATCCAGCATCTCTTATCTCTCGCCATTCATCAACCTGTGTTTGCTGACCTCATAGAGTGAAAAGTGAGGTCAAAAGAACTTTTCCTGGTTGCTCACAGTCACCGATAATCTCAACTTCAGCTAAGTACAAATATTTTTTTCTTACCCTTACTGCCTATTTTAATAAGACGAAATATATCTTCTTAAAACAGGGATTTGTCAAAAATAGGACTGTCAAAAATATCCAATTACAAATCCTTTCAAATATCTAGCAACCACTCTCTCTACCAATGATATAAAGAGGAACAAGAAAAGGGAGTGGGAAAGAGAAACAAAGAGGCTGAAGAAGAAAGAGAGCAAGAGGAAAGTAGGAAAGGGAAAAAGAGAAATATCTGGTAGAAGAAGGAACGGAGATTAATGGCTGCTGAGAGAAATAGTGTGGAAAAAGGAAAGGGATAAACAAACAGCTTTATGACTTAAATCAAGAATGATGAATGCTAGAGATTAAATATATTTTTTGGAAGCTGAATGCAATTGACAAATCTTTGTACTTGCAACTCTTTCCTTTTTATAAAATATGTTCCAGAAAGTATGCCAACAACACTTACCTGTCCTGAACCATTTATCATGAGTAAATTCCTTCTTTGTAGCCTCAGGTTTATTCCAGTACTCCTTAAACACATTAGGGCCTCTTACCAGCAGCTCACCAGCCTGCAGTTTAAAAATACATCTTATTGTATCTACATAATGTATAACATACCTGAAGACTCAATACAATACCACAGTAGCAAGAGGATATTGCTGTTTGACAAGAACTGCTTGCTACAATCCAAAATAATCTGTTCTTTTGATAAGCACAAAAATATATTTATAAATATGACAGTCTAACATGACCAATATGCTATAAATAACAAACACAAAATATATGTTTAGTGTACTAAATATAAAGAAAGAAAAATCGTGAAACATATCTAGATCTGTATCTATATTTACATCTATATCTATCCAATACACATACATAAACACATACACTCAAACACACACATATATATAACTATTTAATCTATAATAGTATTTCTAATAAGAAAAAAATTATCTGCATCACTGTCATCTAACCTCCCCATCAGTGAAGACCTTGGTTCCCTGGTTGTTCCCAGCACAAAGAACCTCATACTCCTCCTTCCCAGGAATGAACTTTGCAATCCTTACTTCCACTCCCGGAAGTGGTGTTCCAACACAACCTTCAAAAAAGAAAAAGTGATTTGAAAGCCTTGAAAAAATCATTTTGCACTATCCAGGCCCAAATTACCAATTCTTATTAATCTGTTACTATGAAATTGCTTACATGACAAACACTTTAAATCTTCAGATTTCATCAAATTGCATAAATGAATATCATAGCCGACAAGAAAATGAAAAACAATATATATAAAAATGACTTTTGTAATCTTTATGATTTTTATAATCACCTCAACTGACTTCCTAGCTTCTTTTCTTAGGGCTGCAGAGGACCATCCTAATGTCTGCCTTCCAATAACAAAAATATGATAAATATGTACCTCTTCACCAGAATTCCTAACTTTATTCAGGGGGCTGAAGCAAGCCATCCCAGTTTCTGTCACATCATAATGCAAATATAATGACCAAACAAAGGCACTTTATGTGCTTATCCTCACCTGGTATTCTAGTTCCTTTTAAGGGGTTAGAGAGAGCCATTCCTATTTCTGTCATCCCATAGCGTTCAAGGAGCGTATGGCCCGTGATGGCCTTCCACCGGTCCAGGATGGGCACAGGCAGTGCTGCAGAGCCACTAACCATGAGCCTTGGTGGGGGTAATTTGGATCATGTTACAAGGGCTCCATTAAATGTTTTAGTGTTTAACCTGTTCAGAACAAGTAAATTTCTGAATAAAGTTTGGTAAGGCCTGGGGGCATTGATGATGCTCTGCACCTGGGATATTGCCCACCTCAGAGCCAGACATCCAAGGCACATCCCAGCTACCTGGACCCTGGCTGACAATTTGATTAGATATTACCGAGTATCAATGAAATATTCACCATTTCATGTTTAAATGTTACCCATCACAAATGGGTATGCAACACTTAGAGAACTAAACTTGGGCATTAAATGGTGATTAGTCTATTCCACAAATTTATAAACACTGTAGAATATATCTTTCTACAGCAAGTTACTGCACAAACATACACTTACCTGATATTCTGCATACACACAGCCTTCACATACTCGATCATCCTAGTATTCTTGACTAATTTATCTTCATATTCCTCAATCAGTTTCGCGTATATTGTGGGCACAGCCATGAAGAGGTTCACTCGTGACATGACTGGGGTATCCAAGGAAAGCAAGTGACTCCAAACTTTTGATGCAGAAAACTCTGGTAGCATGACAACTCTGCCAATAAAGAATCAATCATAAAATCATACAATCCTAGATATACACATAGACAAATAGACAGACAGATAAACCAATATATTTATAGATTTGTATATCCATGTGTACATATACATAGGTGTGTTTGTGTTTGAGTGCATGTTTGAGTGCGTGTTTGAGTGCATGTTGTGTGTGTGTGTGTGTGTGTGTGTGTGTGTGTGTGTGTGTGTGTGTGTGTGTGTGTGTGTGTGTGTGTGTGTGTGTGTGTGTGTGTGTGTGTGTGTGTGTGTGTGTGTGTGTGTGTGTGTGTGTGTAAATAGATACATTCAAAACTCTGCCCAAATTTTTTTTTAATTTAGCTTGAAGTGTCTGGAATACAAATGGAAAACTGTAACTATAAATCTGAATCAGTTGGATATAATAGAAAATGAAAACTATATACCTAAGGCAACTGAATATAATAATAAGCTTTAATGCAGTAACTAAAGCACAATGTCACGATTACCTGGCACCAACGTGTAGTGGGCATAAAAGAGCATTGACAATGCCATGGGTATGATGGAGCGGCAAGCAGTGCAGGATGGAATCACTAGAGGTCCACCGCCATGCCTGGATTAGGCAACTTGTCTGTGAAGCTACGTTCTTGTGACTCAAAACAACACCTGAAATGAAATACTGCTGTAAAGTGAACTGAGTAATCATCTAAATATTACCTTAACAGATAAGAAAACAAGTAATAATTGTTATCTGTGTGGTCAATGCCATTAACTTTTGGAATCCAGGTGACTTGACTGTCACATCATTAAAAAAAAGAGGGCCATATGACAGGAATTTGCCACCATGGAAAAATTTGGCTTAGGGCCTGGGTTAGGAGATTGTGCCATCTTGAAAAATTTGGCTGAAGGCCAGGGTGATGGGAATGATTCACCATCAGTGTACAAAGTGCACATTTATTAAGGGACTCTTGCATTAATTCCACTAATAGCTACTATTTCCCTACTCAGGAGTTTGAGTTTCCTGCCCATTAAAACTGGTGGTACAGCATTCTTACAGGTATAAACTGAAGAAAGTTAAAAGCTCTTCAAGACAATTTAAGACTCATACCAATCTTTAAGACCTAAGCCACATAGTGAATGAATTGTGGCAGCCTTCGCCAGCAATAGATATATCTTCATTTACATGAACAAAGATGTTCCTAGGACAAATGTAAGACATTTTAAGGCCTGAAACAGAAAACCTCCATTTTTAAGACTTTTTTAGGCCTTAAATATCAAAGGAATATCAGACATTTTAAGGCTTTTTAAGGATATGCTGGAACCCTGTGGCATAGGGTGTGTTACAAAAAAGAAATGTATATGAAAAAAAGGCAAATAACACAACATTACTAATTGTTATTTTAGAGTTTTAGACTATATAAAGAGATAATACAGAGTCTGTCCCTTTATGTCAACACTTCTTCAAAAACCAACTCCTCCACCTGCAAAAGCACACATGCACCATACCTTTGGGGGGTCCTGTAGTGCCACTTGTGTACAGAATCATGGCATCACTCAAGGAGTAAAATTCATTGTCCAAGCCATACCACTGTGCTGTTGAACTCTCGTCTCCTATGGACTCAGGGCTTGCATCTGGACTGTCTTCATTTTCTTTGCTAACTGGGGACTGCTTATAAAAATACTCTTCTAAGACTATAACCTGTGAAGGGGAGAAGTGGGAGAGATGCTATGGATAAGTTTCTGCTCTTAGTAATATGAAGTGAGATCATATAAGATATCTGACAGGTATTGATATGATAAATATCTGTAATAAGGGTTATAGTTTCAGACTGACTATTGACACTTGTTTCTCCAAAGGCTACCTGTTGTCCTGAGAGAATTGGCTTGATCTTGTGTGCTAAATCAGAAGTGGTAATGATAGCCGATGCCTGACTGTCCTTCACAACATATTCTAACTGTGGATGTGGGTGTTTTGGGCACAGAGGAACAGCTGTATTAAAAGAGAGTGATGACTTGGAGGGGCAGAATTTAAACCTGAAATATCATTAAGCAGAACAGTAGCAAAAATTTAGTTCTCAAAATAGTCTCCTGTACAGCTTATCATGAATGTAATCCAATATACAGAGACACAGTACCATACTGGCAGACAGAAACTGATGGATGGATAAAAAGAATGACGGAAGCTGACTATGAATAATACAATACATTGCTCAACCAGTTCAGAAACAAGTCTTTTATGATGAAGTTACTGATTGAAAAATATGCTTACGAATAATACAATGTATTGCTCAACCAGTTCAGAAACAACAGTCTTTTATGATGAAATTACTGATTGAAAAATATGCTTACGATTAATACAATACATTGCTCAACCAGTTCAGAAACAAGTCATTTATGATGAAGTTACTGATTGAAAAATATGCTTACAAATCATAAAAATGGTATCAAAGTTTAGCAGATCATCTTATCTTAGTGTTTTAATATGTATGCACAGCAAAATATTCTAATTAAAAAAACACACTCATCGAGATAAATTTCAATCATACATCATTTCTTATTAGGCCTACTCAATAATTTATAAAAAAACAAAACAAGGATTCATATGTTTTGCTTGTATTACAAAATCTACACACTACAGACATATTACATACCAATGTGACCTGCCATCCATGTTCCCCACTGAGCAATGACATAAGATACGTCGTTGGGGCACAGGAAAGCTACTCTCTCTTGTACTCTGTCTCTTCCTAGGACATCCTGCATTAGGCGAGCCAGGTGCCCACTGTTGCACAAAGAAGCACTGACTCAGGAAAAAACTTATTGCCACATAACCTCAAAAACATAAAAAGTGCAAGTGAGAGAGAGAAAGAAAATGCAATGACTTTTATGATATGGATTACATGATACAGTCACTAACTTATGATACATATATATATATATATTATGAATTTTTTTTATCTCCTATTCACTGAATTAATATCTATTAGCACTAGATCAAAATGTGTACTGCCACTATACCTGAACCTATAAATCTGACTATAGGTATGTTCACCATGCTGGTCGGTTAATGCTACATTATCATGGTACTGTTCAGCTCGTCGAAACACTGGAACAACAGATCGCATAACTCTGGAGGTGTGGATCCACCTCCTTGTTGCGTATTGCCATTGGTTTGGAAAATTTGTACATGTTCTTACTGCTATTCGTAACATGGTTGGGTCATTCTGAAAGGAGGGAGATTGTAATTTTAAATGTTTACATATTAGCAGACATTGGCTTTTGGGTACGTATCATAATATCAAGCTAGAAATAAGTTTCTCAATAAATAATAAAAGATGCATGCTTTTTGTATCAAATGTTATTTCTTCCATGATATTTGGTTGAACATCAGTAAAAAATTACCTATGTAACAACAAAATTTCCTTGAAAAGAAAATGTGAAATCACCATATCACTGCTGAAAATCAGAAAGTTCTTCTTAGAAAAGTTACAAGCTCACTGGTCACTTGATTTTATACAAGAAATTAACATTTACAAAAACCTGTCTGTTTTTCAAAAAATATCTCAGAAAACAAAAATTAAACTAAATAACTTTTTCATTTAATTTTCACATTAATCAACAAGCACAGACCACTCAACACATCAACAATGAACTTTGAAAACTGCATGATAAAAGTTTATTGCATATTCCAACAGGCTATCAACATTAGGATTTTCCCCTCTATATTGAAAAGAGGAGGTTCTGCTGTAGGGTAAGAATTTTAATAACAAATCAAAGACACAAGAAGTTTACAATTACATGGAAATTTGTGTGATATCAACTTTATTATCTTATTTAATGTAAGCCAAAGTGAAAAGTCATGACCATTTCATCATTGTAATAACATATACTTTTGTAAAGAGCCCAGATGAAAATGCCAATAAGAAATCTCTTTAACATTACATACTATGTACCTATATCATTACATTTCATAATGAATAGTAAATACTTCATTTAATTTTCTTACCATTTTTAGCTAATAAAAATAATCTGATAAGCCCTTGCATGTTGGTCGAGGCCGGGCTTCAGGACATTCCTCCTTTGAAAAATAATTACCCATCAGCAACTGAACCTCGACAGTTACCCAGTAGGAGGCTGCCTAGCAACAGCATCTTAAGACAATGTGATGAAAAAATGAAGTCTATACATAACTCCAATCTGATCTGCATGTGTCCCTACATCTTGTCAATCTTTATCTGTCTTTCTATATCTTACTGCACTAGTTTAAAGGTTCCTCGGGCCAAATTATAGTAAATACCACCGGAAAAGCCGTTCCTGAAAAACATCAAAATATTATTACAGTTCGGCTCATGAATAACTACAGCGTGGTGTTAAATGATAGAATAGATATTTCTCTACTTACCAGCAGGTAGAAATGGCTTAATTTCTACTATCTCATTATCTACAAGTTGTGGGAAGAGAAGTTGTTTACTTCATCAGCTGATCGGGAACCTACACGTGCGTAGTTGCTGTTGTTGTTGTTTTGGCGCAGACCGTTCCCTTAGGGGTATGCTTTTAGGATTTCCCACTGTTTTCATAGGGCTGCTTTGTACTTCACAGTCGGAAAGAATTTGAAATACACAGTTTGTGGTGATGGCTATGAAGTTTTCACTGAGGTCTAAATAGATAGGAGTAAGGACTATTTCCGATTCGCACTATTTATATTTTAGTGGAGTTTCAGAGAACATGAATTGGAAATCTGTTTTTGGACCCGTAAATTACTATCTGCAATCTTCCCCAAATATTGTTCCTAATTAAAGAAAATTAAGAATACACTTTTTATAACAAAGACGACAGCCAGGTGCCACATCTGACTGAAACCTTTTCTATGCAACGAGAGTGCGTACCCTTGTGCGACTATTTTTAACCGGGAATGTGCTTGTACACAATTTTTCGTGGTATACACAAAGTTAGTTGACATTATTCTATCGATTTCTTTATACATTTATCCAAAGAGATGGAAGTGCAGTTCTATGCATTACCCCTTTCGTGCAAAGGTGCAAGAATTCGATGCTTTAATTACTTCCTCATGTCAGCCAATTAAAGAAAAGCTCATGTATATTTTACCACAGTAAGTAGTTAAGAGTGTGGGCTGTTGCAAGGATAAGGTCCAGTTGCAACATATATTTAATAAATAAAACGAAGTAACTTGCTTAGCGAAAAAGGGCATCACTGCACAGAGCAGGCCATAAACCACAAATTTCATATGAGACCGCGCTTGCTCTCGGCATCAACCTATAGCGTTACAACCTTTACGAACTCAGTTTTCTGCTCACTTGTGGTTTGCTAATCGCCACGATGTTGTATATTTCCGATATTGATTTCGGTGGCTCAAATTTCATCGCAGCTTCGTGTGCACGCTTTCTCTTATTCCTCACGTGATTCTCTTTTTACATGAACGTCGTTTTTTAAGGTTTATATATATTTTTTTTCTTTTGGATGTAAGAATATCTCTTCTCGGGGGCATTGTTAAAGTTGGGAAGTAAACTACGATTTCCTATTTCATCTCGCTATTAGGACAACACTTTTGCTGATCTTCGGACTGGTCTTTAAAAATTGGCGCTGCAAAGTAGAACAAATAGTAACTATTTACACATGCTGTTCTGGGGTTCGGATGGTCCACTTGCCGCACAATCCCCAGTAACCGACGCAGTGTAATATATCACAGCAGCGCCTGCGATTAAAGATTATCAGATATAAACCAATTTCCAGAAAACCTTGTTTGGTTTTATCAGGAACGCGTGAAAATGGGTTTCTATCCTTTACAAATCAGAAGAAAAAAATCAAGAAACAAAATGTTACACCCTGTTTGTGTTTTACTTTGGACTGTCATGAACTTAATCGTGCAAGATATGTATTATTTGAGAATTTCTAGGAATGAATAAGAATGAAATATCCCATTTTCCCCTCTATTCTGTCCGTTTGCTCCATTCAAAACAGTAATTTAGACTTTGAATGACAGAAAAGCCCCAAAGTCCCCTTTAATGGCCTCTGCTATTATGAATGAAGATGCCAAAGTTATTCCCACTAGTACCGGTAGGAAATCTTAATGAATATCATTAGCATATTTTTATCTGTATGTATAGAATAATGTAAAGGTTTATTCGAAACTACACAGATGGTAATATACTACTCATAATGAATTACATCCATTTTATTTTCCACATTCCCCTCTACTGAAATCTATAGTTTATTTAAGATCATAGAAGGTGAATTTAAACAAAATTTGGTCAACAAAAGAAAATATTAATTTTCATCTAATATGTTAACAAAAATCAAACATATGGACAAGAAAACATGTGCCAGATTATCTGGGTAAACCCTACAAAAAATAATCACTTGCTTGAAATATCTACATTCAAAAAACAAAGAACTAATTTTAAGACGTTCATATAAATAGATTTTCAATTCAGTGGCTCTTTTCTTCCTGTTACTTGATTATGAGTAATAAATAGATGAATTGCTTATCTTCAAGATGGACACTTCTCACACCCATTGGAATGCTATCTCACACCCCCAGGTTGAGAAACCCTGATTTAAAGAGATAATGCAGAGTCTGTCCCTTTATGTCAACATTTCTTCATAAAACAATTCCTCCGCCAGCAAACGCACACATGCACCATGCCTTTGGGGGTCCTGTGGTGCCACTTGTGTACAGAATCATGGCATCACTCAAGGAGTAAAATTCATTATCCAAGCCTCTACTGAAACTGCTTACAAATATATGTATAAATGTTTTCAGCCATTCCTAGACAGACACACTAACATTTTACATGGGCTTAAATAAGTCATTATGCAATGTATATGATACATACATTGCATGTCACGGTGTAACGTAACCAACCACATGATAGGGGACACCGCTTGTGGTTTATGCTCACATAGTGGACGTACCCACAAAGTGAACCCACGGGATACTGACAAGAATGAGAGGGAGAGAGAGAAAGTGGAAGAATAAATGCGACACGCGACAGCCACAGCGTCATGCCATCTCATCTACTAATCTCGCAATCGTTGATTAGAGTAACAACTGTTTGCGGGCGTGACGTCACCGTTGCTTGGGGTAGTTGTATTGGTAGGCCTAAGCAAGGTGAGCGCTCTTTTTAGCAGAGGCCGTCGCGGTAATTGGGCGGAGGAGTGTGGTAGTCCCGCGTTGTGGGCCACACAAGTATCACGTCGGCTACTGATATTTATAATTTAAAACTATAAGGCATGTCTTATATATAGTAATTTCTGGTTATTCTGTTTATATATATATAGGATAAGTAAATTAGATTAATGGAATATAATCTATGTTCATTAGTTGATAAATAATTTAATTTGATTTCTACCTTGTGCTAAGAAATGGTCAAATGTTGTATTTGGTTTATTCTGTTATTTTAGAACTGTGGGCTGATATTTCAAGATATGCTACCGACATTGCATGATGCCGATCAAGCATGAAGAATGAAGATGCTGATCCAGATTCTATATAATGTGCGGTATTAAGTGAAGAGAACATTGAAATATAGAAAATAATGAACTATGAACAGTGCAGTGTTAAATGAACAGAACAGTGAAATGTGCGAGCATATCGTGAACATCATAGCTCTATGAACTTATTTATATTTCTTTGCGTGTTTTCATATAATTTCGTGTGTTTATTTAATGTATATATTTGTTCGTCTCATATAATAAATACTAAATAATATGACGTTTTTCCATATAATCCATCAAAGTACAAATTTCTCTCATTCAAGAAAAAAGGTGTCTTAACTGTGCCGGCAAACCCTCATTATAACAATCACCATCCTCACACAGAATCATATTTTCGGATGTTATGAATTTAGAACATAAATTGCATAAAGCATGAACAACACAAGAATTCAGCTCATATGGTTCTTGCTTTCCCCTGTTTTTTTTTTTTTTCTTTTTCTTTTCTTTTTTAGTAAAAAGATCAGAAACCTAAAACCTTGTCTGCAGCGTCCTTACCTGTAAGTTCGACTAATTGGTTGACGTTTAATGCCCAATTTCAGTTGTTTTCGAGGTTAAGCTCTGCCTACATAAGCCAACATACCCATCAAATTTGTCAACCGAAAAGTTAAAAGGCCAAATACTTGTAGTTTTTTGTAACTTCACTTGGCCATTTTAGGAGTATTTAAAAGATATCCTATAATGAAATGCATGTGAAAATGGTATACGATTACATAGAAAGGTATGGGCGTCTTCTGTACGTATCATAAAAATTTAATCCAGTATTAAAGTTTAATCCAGATCTCTAGCGTGCATGCGCGTTGGCAGCGTCCAGGGTCAACTTTTAATGCACCTCTGACCAGCTTTGGGCGTCTAATGTATGGGCGTCTTCTGTAGCGTCCTTAACTCTTAATACCGTATTTAGTTTAATCCTAATCCACCGTGTCCGTACCGACGACGACACTTTCCGCTGCCAGGCGGCGCGACAATAATGTTCAGTAAAAACTGTCGTACTCACTATTCTATCACCACCGTTGTCATGTAAACATGTCGGAGAGAAGAGAAATATCGTGCGTGAAATTCGCTCTTTTGGGAGATTTCATGTTTTTTTCTTTCTTTTTGTAATGCCATGTGTCTGGCAATCATATTTAAGAAACTATTTTAGATATTTCTTAGGTTTCAAAATATCTATTATATTTAATGTGTATTTCATGAAACTGAGACTCTTACTAATGTCTTCATAATGTTAATTCTTTTATGCCTTTTTATCTCTGCACTGCTTTGCCTCCTAATTGTTTAAAGTGTTCTGTAAATAATAATAGAAACTTCTCAGATGCTTCTGAAGACACCTTTTCCTTCCCTTCATCCCAGGCATACCTACATGATTGAAGACAAGGCATTAAAAACTTATTCATATTATTAATCAATTCTTTATGCCTCCCAATGTTCCCAAAATTGAAAACTAAGACTAGCATCATATCAAAGTAAGAAATTTCGTACCTCTATTTTCTATACACATTTCTTCAAGATTGTCTGTTTCAAATATTATTTGTTTGCAATCTTAAGTTAATGGAGTCTCTTTAAATTTCTATCAATTCTTGTGATGTTCCTGGTCTGTGATATAGTGATGGTTCTGTCCTCTGCTGTTGATGTGAAAATCCTGGTCTCGTACTTCTGGGCGTGTGGGAATAGGTTTTACAAATCTAAAGGGTGGGAGCTGAGGTATGTTGTCTTTTTATTGCTGAAAAATCTGTGGTATTTTGAAACGTTTCTGTGCAATGTTGCTCTTCACACATAATTGTTGCATGTTGTGTAGGGAGTTTGTTGTTTGGAGCAAGTCATGCACTCACACCTGTAAATAAGCAAAATCATCCAAAAGATATCTATTCAACATTCACCCTTCAATGTCCTTACGCATGTGATATAGAAGACAGTTTTAAAGATATTACCTAAAGATTTGCAGTCCGATATAAAATTTACTTGAATAAATAAACCTTGCAATTTGCATTCAGACACTGCATTGTTAAAAGATTTTTCTGACAGCTGATATTCATCTTTTATAGATTGGAGAAAAGGTGATTGTTATAGAAAGTTGCAGTCAGTCACAAGATGCAGTTTGATCTTCATATGATAATTACGAGACACAAGTAGG